TAGATGTATGTGCTGAGTTTAAATAAATTATATGTTATAAAACTCACATTTAAGATTTAGATCAATTTATTATCAGGTCATAAGAGTGTTTTTTAATAAATAAATGTAGTGATTGTTTGATTTACAATTGTAAGGTCCTGGGTGTTTAATGTTAAGTTATACATTTCTTTAGAAATAATATTTGAAATATGCAAAGCAGGGCGGCATTCATTTCAACTTAAAAATCATCAACTTAACTTTCAATAACTATAGATAAATAAAAAACAAAAGTTTGATAAAAACTTTAAAAGAAATACTTTTAGAAAAATTCTTTCTAAATAATATTTAAAAAAAACACAATCACTTCGTCTGAGTGATTCTGTAAGAAATTCTAAACTTTACAATTTTACAAGTTAGGTGAAAAGTAAATATCTACAATAGTGGTAGGGAATTAAGGAAATTCTAAATCTAAAGTTTGAGTCCTAGAACGTAAACATCTGATCATTAGATCAAAAGTTAGTTTTAGATTTTTCGTTTATTGCTCACTGTACACTAAAAGGTGATTTTTTTTTCTTTTGAAATTTTGATTTTAATGCCCTTACTTCAACCTCCTTCGAGTTATGCTTACTTTATAAATTTAATCTCAACTTTATTTTTCTTTTCACTTTTAAACTGTAAAAGACTTTTTCTCCATTTGTAAATTATGAAAAAAGTTATTAATCTGATTGCGTAAACAGTTAATTTATTAAAATTGAACATTCTCAATTAATTCCTTTTAATAGTCATTTATATTATTAATAATAATTATTTGCACAAAATTATAATAGAGGAAAGTTTGATTAGAAATTTAAAAGTTCTTGCTACAATAATTAGGGAATTTCTATTGACAAATTCAAGTAATTTTTTTTCCGGAACAAAATGCATTTTTATTTAAAATGGAACAGTACTGACTTAACATTTATACGATAAAACACTCTCTAATCGCTAACACCGATGACAGGAAAAAAATTTCGTTTTTTTTTTTTTTTCCACAAAAAGTTTAGAACTTAAAATGTTGTTCTTTCATTATAAAGCAATAGCATAATATTCTCGTATCATGTAAAACTTGATAACGAAGTTACTTATCTACCGTTTTACAGTTATAAAATGAAATGATTATTGAATTCTACTTGCATTTTAAAATGTCAATGTCTCCATCGTTCAATGAATTTTACGATTATTTTTATAAAACTGTGTATAATGAACATTTCAACTAAAATAATTAGTACAAAATAGCTGCTAATAATTCTCTTAAACATTTATAAATATTATACATTTATAAATTTCAGCTTTTCGCATTATTGCTAAATAACCTCTACGTCGAAAAATATTTAAGGAATTCCATAATAACTGAAAATTAAATAAAATTTAAAAAAAATTGTAAATGGTTATCGAGCAGAACCATTAAGTTTAATTAATGAATATAGAATTAGTAACAAAGTCACTGCTGAACAATAATTTTTTTTTAATCTTTTAAGTAAACAAACTTTATTATAATAATCATTTCATTATTAAGGATTAAAGGTTATTGTGAAATTATTAATTCTAATTAGTGGATGAGTAGGAAAAGAATTTCACTACTCGAAATATATTTAATGAAAGTTATGAAACTATAGAATATGTAATAATGTGTAATTTTTCTATCTTATTTCTATTACGACCTTTTAAAAAACGCTAATAAACACAATTTAGTCAACAGATACAAACGATTATGGCGGCGCTATAACAAAAAAAAAAAGCTTTATATTTTATTTGATGCAGAAGAATCAAATGAAGACCCGCTTAATTGAAATGTCGCACACATATTTAACTTGTTGAATGTTATGCGATACCAAAAACAAAACAAAAACATAAGCACACAGCTGTTTGGCGATTTGCGAGAACGCTCCTTTAACGCCAATAGAAATTTTCGCCAACCCTTTGCAATCTACGGTATGTTTTGTCAATTCGCTTCCCGGGCATGTTAGTCAACAAAATTCGAATGAAAGTTTTACTTGTACGAACTTTTTTTTTTAATTGATCTCTTTTTTTTATATAATTAAAATCAGTAGTATTTAGATCTAATCAAATATTAAAAAAAAATCTTTTTCTGCTGTTTTATTTGTCCCATATAAACGGTTAATCTTCAAAATTTAGGAGCTGTTTAATCGGATTTTATGGTACTTCTGATTGACTATTTAAATGCTCCACCTTTTCGGGGCGATTTTAAGTTTTCAGACTATGTAAAACTGTTAAAAAATTTTTTACATCGAATAAGATTTCCATTTAAATTAAATTTATTAAATCAGTATAATTCGACAACGTAAAAACTTTATTCGATTCGGTTTAAAATTGAACAAAATATATGTTACTAATGTAGTTACACTTATTCTAAAGACATTTTTCATTCAATGTCTTGCCAATTTGCTAAAATAATTTATAGAAGATAACATACCCAAGCGCAAAGCAAACTATAATAATAGACAACCTGTTAAAGTTTTAGGAAAATTGGACAAAAATTTGAATAAGTCATTGAACCATTGAGTCCACGGGGGAAAGGGGCATTTTAAATAGAAAAATATTTTATTCTGGAATTCCTTATTAATTATAATTTCTGAATTTAGCGCCACTTTAAAGCCACGTCTGGGAACATATGTATCTTCTTGCCCCCCGGCTATGCCTCTGTTCCATGCTCCCAGTTTAAAAAAAAGAAGAAAAAAAAAGACAGAGAACAATAAATTTACCGACACTAAATTGAAATTAAAATTTAGACAAGTTGATATTATGCATTGTCGGATAGACATTGGAAAAGAATATCCTGAAATTTCTAAAAGAGCTGGGAAATACCTAATGTAATTTATTTCAACGCATGTACACCCTTGTGCAAATTAATTGAAACAAACTCAATAAATTCAGAAAACTAAGAGAAAATGCTATTTTATTTAAATTTATACAAACTCAAAAATTTTTAATACATAATATGATCTCCACGACACTTTATTAACATTTGGACACGATTCGGCATGGATTCCACTAATTTTTTACAGTCATTTATAATATTTGTGTCCTTGTACCACACTTGAATTAACGCCGTGATTAGCTTCTCCATAGTTGTACAGTTCATATTTAACAGGCGATTCTTGCATATGGCCCAGAGATTCTCAATTGGGTTGATATCCGGAGAGTTCCCTGGCCATTCCAATGTCTCAATTTGATTCTCAGACATGAATTTCTTGACAATTTTGGACGTATGTCAAGGAGCTAAATCCTGTTGAAAAATCCCTGTTCCATCAGGGTATCGTTTCTTCAACTCTGGAACAACTTTTTTACCCAGAATAGTAATGTACTGCTCAGAACGCATCATACCGTCAATAGGCTGCAAAGGTCCAACCCCATTGTAACCGAAACAACCCCAAAACATCTTCTTTAAAAAACACGAAAAAAAATGTTTGTTTCAATTAATTTGCACAAGGGTGCATGTAAAAAATTTTTGTCTCCCTGTATACTGTAACAAAAACAAAATACAGTAACAGATTAGACTCAGAGTCATTAAAAAATTTCCATTTTATTAATTTGCTAAAATTATAAAAAAATGTTGCTTTCTTTTTATACCAATAGAATATATTTTATAACAGCGATTCCCATTTTTTTTCGCCTGTTGAACCCTAAATGGTCAACCTTTTTTTGACCGAACCCCGACTTTATAAATTAAGTTCCTATGCAGTTGTGAATATACAAACCAAAGAAAGACTAAAACTACTGAACGACAATAGTAAATTTAATAACCAATAAGGGATTATTCTAATATTTAATAAGAAGAGTAATATATCTACATCGTTTTATCATTAATAATCTTAAATTAGTTTGGACGTACGACAGTTGAATTCGCAGTCCACGAGCTAAATCTAGTCTAGATATGATTTCGTTTTTTTCTCTAAACATGAGCTAAAAATGAATAAAATAAGCCGAATTATGGGTTTTCGTTAAAATGAAAATTAGAAAATATAAACTTGGAAAATGGTTATTAGGGAAACACATTTATTTATTAACGAATTTTGTTACTTCATTTTGATTTGAAGATCGCAATGGGAAATACTAATGCACTTTTTCATAAATGCTTGTCCTTTCAATAATATATTTAATACATTACTAGAAAAATCATATTTTTTGTTTCAAAAATATTTGCCACTTCCTTTCCATTGGCAATTTACTTTAAAAAATTTCGTAAAGACATCAGAAATGTTAAGTTAATAATGATTTATTAAATGGATCTAAATATATTTATATGTCACTATACTTATATGTTTAAAAAGTTCTTAACTTTCGGAACCCTTTTAACCCTTTCCATTGGGTTCCGCGGAACAACATTTGGGAACCACTGCTTTAGAAAACCAAATAAACCCCATTAGCTACCTTGCGATTTATTTTCTTATTAAGATGTTTGTGTTGCGATAAAATAAAGATCCAATAATAATTTCATAAATTTGAGTAGAATAGCGTTTTGATATCCTTTTTTTTCCTGCTCTTTGATTAAGAGGTTCCATCAAGAAAATGTTAAGTTCAAAGGGTTAACCAAAGTGCAAAAGGTTGAATAACCCTGGTTTATTTTATTCCACAGCTTAATCCCTAACTGTGATGCATAATTATGAATGTGAAAATAATTTCAAATTCGGTGGTATTGTGTAATATTTATTAAAACAGAATGTGTAAAGGGACTTGGAACTTAGATTAAAAAAAAAATCTAATCAACCCATTAACATACCAACTTTTAATCTTTTCTCCCAGAAGCATAATTATGAATTTGAAAATAATTTCGAGCTGGTGTTTGAATTTCCATTCCATGATGAATAAATTAGGTGGTTTCCCGTTGCGGAAATCATGACGGGAAAAAAACTAGCTTCTAACTCCCCCTTTACTCGAAACTGAAAACGTGCATGGAGTTTTAATTCTTGTTTTCGAAACTTCTGCGCATGCGCCAGGTACATCTGCCGTTGGAGGCCGAACGTTACGGTAAGGTGTGTTTGGTTTTAGAACAGGTGGTTCATTCTGTCGGTCTGCTTGGGTTAATGCCATTACATCCGCTCTTTCTCCCATTCCTGTTTTCTAAATAACAAAGTGAAACTATTTTTTTTTTTGTGGAACAAAATTAACAACGGATTTCTCTTTCTCGAATTCTATATCTTACTAAAAGATCTTTTTGGTGACAAAATTTGATTACCAGTTCAAGGAATTCATGTGAAGTGTGATTTTGTGGAAGAAAACAAAATTGTGATAAAAAATGAAGCCAAAAGATGAGAGGTAAGTGCAACTTTTGTGAATGAACAGGAAGTTTCTTTTCGAGGGAGAGGAAGGGAATGGTTGAGTTTAGTTGTTATTTATAACGACGCTCATTCTTTTTATAGAACATGTTAATTTTGATTGTAAAAAAAAACATTGAGTTAAGATAAAGCTTTGATGATTTCCGTTGTTTTATGTAAGTTCATTCTACTGAATAATAGTTATAACAAAATTCTGCTGAAATGATGAAAATAATAGTTATAACAAAATTCTACTAAAATGATGAAAATTAATAGTTATAGCAAACTCATTCAGTAAGAAAATAGTTATATCACATATAAGTTGCCTGCTCACAGTAATTTTAAGTAATGAAAATAATGATTAAATCAAAATTCTACTGAAATAATGAGAAAATTTATGAAATGAATTATAAAGACTTGATAAGTTGCGTGCTGGCAATAATTAAAAATTTATGAAAAATGTTTTTTTTAAAATTTTTTATATATATATATATATATATATCATAAAAAGGCATAATGCCTAGAATGTTTCATAATTTCTAATGAAGCTCATTCTTTAAATAGAACTTGCTAATTTTGATTGTAAAAAAACTTGTTTTTATTTAGGCTCGCTCTATTGAAATGATAAAAATAATAATTATTGTATTGTATTATAATTAATAAATATTTGCTGAAATAATGAAAAAAATAGTTACAGCAAACATAATGATTTGATTAAGTGGCTTGCTAGCAACAATTTTAAATTTAATATAAAAAAGAGATTTTTTTTTGATAGATAAAAGAGCAAAAGCTGGTTAGAAATAGTCCTTTGAATGTACAATTATTTATAAGGAAATTTATTTTTTGTATAGAACTTACCAATTTTGATAATATGAAAAAAACATTATTATAAGTCCAGGCAATGGTGATTTTCTTTGCTTATTTAGGTTCATTCTACTGAAATATTGAAAGAATTGGTTATGACAAATATAGGAATTTTTTTAAGTTGCGTTCTGGGAATAATTTTAAATTTGAAAAAAAAAAAAAATGATTCGTTGATAAAAGGAAAAGGCTAACCAGAAATATAGTACCTGGTGTAACTCTTAAGGGGTCACAGTACCCAAAATATGAGCAAAATGTCGATATTTTTTATTGCTTATAATAAAACTTCAAACTATTTCAAACGCACTGAGAAAAAATCATCTCTCTATCTACATTTTTAAAAAGTTATGAATGATTTTAGATTGCCCTAAAACAGAAACTTGATCAGCAGACAGACTTTAAAGTGCTTTTGCTCATAGATGATAATTTTGTGTTTTAATCTGAATTAAATCCCTAAGGAATTTTTTCAATTTAAGATAAAGCTTTGAAGTAAACTTTTTTATCTTAAGTATAATACACTTATTTTAACTGTGCATGGAATAAGCATTTTATGTGGTATTACAACTTTTACAGCATATTATATATACCTGAGAGGAATTTTTAACCTTTTTTTCAACCTTTTTGCATAATAATCTATAAAAAATGTTCAAATTCATACATCAACAAATGAATGCACAAAATTGTTAAGATGAATATTGGAAGCACTAAGAAAAAAAAAGTTTTTGAAAATATGTTAAAATAATAAAGCTTTTAGGATTTAAAAATTTTGAATTTTTTCAATTTTTGTTAAAATTAAAAAAAATTAAACTGTTTAATTATTTTTTTGAAGTTAAATTATTGATTATAAGTTAAATGAGCATGTAAAGCATCTACAAAATGAATGATTGTACATTTATTTAAAAAAAATGTTGCGAGGATACTGTGACTCCGTAACTAATTTTTTAATTTTGTCTTCATGCAACATTAAATTATTTTTTGTTTCAGTTTTAAACTATTAAAAATCATGATTGTAAATTTACTATTCTCTTTCTTTCATATCAAAAGAAAAATTGGATAGCTAATATTGGTGTAAAGTTTGTACACAAAAAAAAAGCCTAGTTACACTTAACGCAATGCGATGATTTTAAATCTTACATACATTCTTGCCGTGACGAATTAGCTGAACTTTAGAACAGAGAAATAACTTAAATATTTTAAAAGTTATTAAACTTTTTTAAGAATCGCCAACTATGCGACATTTTTCCAACTAGATGAAAATCATCAAAATCACTGCCTTTTTCTCAGTGTTTGCAAATTTTTATGAGCCCAGGTAATGCAGTATAAGAGCAAGTTTTTAAATTTTAAAAAAATTAGACCACAAGCACTTTTCATTTTCACAAAACTGTGACTTTCCTCCATATTGACGTTTAGCGCTATTATTAAAATAAGAGTAGATAGCATTGGCTTTTAGATGGACTAAACTTGACCTAACACTGCATATTCAGAGCCGGATTATACCTTTCGTAGGCCCTCTCCTCCTTCCCCCACTCCTCCCCTCTTTTCAAAATATATGCTAAAATTTTCTTGCATATTTTTATTTACATTTTTATTAATATGGATTTTAATTTACAAATTTGTTTATCGAACTTTATCTGCAATTCGACAGCATAATACAAGATTTCGTTGAATCCAAAAATCGCAAAAAAGTAATATATTAGATCATAAGATTCTGCAAAATAATTTATTACCGAAAAATATTATATATTTATTTGTATCTTCATAATTTTGTGCAAAATAAACCTGTTGTTTTTAAAGCTAAATTATTTTTGTCAACAATTTTTTTTCTTCCAAGTTTTTCGTAGGCCCCTGAATTTCGTACACCCTTAGCACGTGCCTAGTGTGCCTATAGGTTAATCCGGCCCTGTGTATATTATTCAAGTAATGCATTTCAAACACAGTTTAAAGCTGATTTATATCAGAGTTATAGAAAAATAAAAAAGAAAATCAGTTTAATTTATATGAATTCAATTTCATCTCACTTTTTGAATGGATTATTTACACAATCGATTGATAATTATTTTGAATATACCTTTATAAGAATCTCAAACAATATTAGGTATGCGTAATCATTTTTCGAATGACGATTTCTACAGCTCTTGAAACCACGCACTTTTTATACGGATCATTGTGATTAATATCTGTGTTTAGCGCCATAAAATGGAAAAATAAAATAAAATAAAATACAAAATACAAGAAAAAATGAGTAATATCACCATTTCATCATGATGGTGGTAAGAGAAAAAAGAAACTAAAGATTTCACCCAATGGATTTCACTGATTAATACTGATACGAGAATAAAATCATATCAAATAAATCTAAAGTAAAATTACTAAAAAATTGATTACAATTAAGAGATAAAAAAATTCATCTTTAATGATTGAATAAAACTTTCTTGATTTAATACCACAACACATAAAACTAGAGTGGGGGAAATTTTGCACTCACCGGGTACTGTCCACAATGTATGTTTTTATTGACTTTGAATCCTTCATTTATCTTACAAATTTTTTATAAGGTTACTAATTATTTTGATTAAATTCTTGTTATTATATATGCATTATATTAATGATGCATTTAATTTATTAATAATAATGAAATAGTAAACTATATTTAACCTTTAATAACTGATGTACCCAAACTAATACCTTTAATTATAGTTTGAATATGCAATAAAAGAACTTAAGGTCATAAATAAAATATTTGATTCCAACCTATTTTTAGCCAGGATATAGTTGTTCGATTCTCATGGGATTTTTTACTAATTGAGCGCTTTAATTCATGGTTTCATTTATTATTACGTTTTGCTTTTATTCTCCATTCAGAAACTTTTTTATTCGTATTCGTTTGTTATTTCATTTTTCATGCCCAACTAAATCCTTGAAAATTCTGGAAAATACTTGAGGAAATAATAAAATATTACAATTTCAATTTTATGTATCATATAATTGCTAAATAATTAAAATTACTTACTGCCGTAAAACTATTTTTCCTTGAAAACGAACAAAATGATACACTTGTTCAAATGATTCTTATAAATTGTACATAGTTTATTAATTATTTTTTAACTTTCATCAGTTTTAAACTTTTTTACCATTTTTGAAGATTCTTTATTCAACGTACAGTGCGCCAAAGAAAAAAAATAAATATAACTGCCCACCCTGAATAACTCTTCATCTAATGATCAGATCCTCACATTTGTTCTAGGTCTCAATCTTGATGGTTAGAGGGGTTGACCTGAAATATGCTAATTAATTATTTCAGACGATATTTTATAATACGAAATCCGACACAAAAACGTTCTTTCTTTGAATAAACATATCATTTATTCGACCGAATCGATTTTTTGAAAAGAAGTTTTGAGAAATCGAATTTAAAAAAAAGTGCATTTAAAATTTGATTTTATTCAACCGATTGCTCTCAAAGTTTGCATTTTGCCATTTAAAATGACGCGTGCTAAAATGATGTAATAAATTGAATACCTTAAATTTTTCCTATTATTATTATATAAAATAATTAATATTTACTAATAGTTAGTTTTTGCATGGAACTATCTTTGGATAAGCGAACTTTATGTGCAAAAATGTTTTAATTCGTTTTAGAGATTTGACGAAATTTGAAGATTGAACACTAAAAGTAAAATTAAGATTAAGGGATCCAAACGTTGGACCGCTCTCCTGTGAGCAAACTATTGTGACCATATTCTCTAGATTGCGGCTACCCTCTATATTTTGAAGTTAAAAATTCCGAGTCCATCATAAAAATGGTATGTTTATTCTGAGAAAGTACATTTTTGTGTCTGATTTCGTAACTTAAAATATCGTCTGCACTAATTAATTGGCATATTTAAAGTCACCCTCTCAATCCATTAAGATTAGGTCTTAGAACATGAATATCCGATCATTAGATCAAAAGTTATTCTGGGTGGCTCGTTTTTTTTTTTTGGTGCACTGTACATTTCCTTTCATTGTTGATTTTAATATTATTTTAATATCATTTAAATATCTATTTGAGCACAAAAATTCAAATATATAAAAATAGCTTAAAAATGTAATTATATATATATATATAAATAAGAGTTTAAAATGAAGATAAAACAAAGG